ACTCAGTGGTGTGTGTGTGTGTATATATATATATATATATATATATATATATACTGTATATGTACCGGTATATACAGTACTCTGCAGAAATTAGTACACCCCAACAGATTTGTCAAAAAACCTTTATTTTCCTTTTAGAATCTACACTTTCTGTGGGACACTACACTACAAAATACTCCAACAAATGTGGGCCATTAATTGCAAACAAAATTTGTTAATTTGCACACACAAAAAAGTATTTTTCCTAACAAATTCATTCAGGACCATGGTGCAAAAATGAATACACCCCAATGAAAGTCTTTGGAGCAAAGCTAAATTTTAGACAACAAAATCCTAATTAACCACTTCCCATCCTGAGGACTTACCCTGCTTCCTGACCAGGCCTCTTTTTGCAATTTGCACTGCACTATTTCAACTGATAATTGCGCGGTCATGCAATGCTGCACCCAAACAAAATTTATGTCCTTTTTTCACACAAATAGAGTTTTCGTTCGGTGGTATTTGATCACCTGTGCGCTTTTTATTTTTCGAGCTATAAACAAAAAAAATACCGAAAACAATATTTTTTACTTTCGCTATAAAAAATATATAGTTAACTGAAAGTTAGTTATACATTTAGGCAAAAATGTATTTTGCTACATGTTTTTGGTAAAAAAAATCCCAAAAAGCCATTTTTTTGCTATACAGCGCTGCACTAGTTTAACTGACAATTGCGTGGTCAAGCAATACGGTACATAAATTAAATTTACATCTTTTTTTTTCACACAAAAAGAGCTTTATTTTGGTGGTATTTGATCACCTGTGCAATTTTTATTTTTGGCACTATGAACATAAATAGTTTTGAAAAAAATTTTTGAAATCCAAATAAGTGTATATTGATTGCTTTGTGTGAAAGTTATAGCATCTACAAACTATGATATAGATAATGAAATTTACACAGCTTTTACTTTCTGACTGCCCTTCACATTTCTTGAGGTGCTAAAATACCAGGTTTATCTTTGAACTCCCTATTGAACCCATGCAAGTACACCCATACATGAGGTCTCATATGCTGTATACAAGAAGATGTTAAATTTGAGTGTCCTGTGTATATATTTTAATCACTGTGCTAATAAATGGTAATACACTATGGAGGCTTTTCTCTTTGTGGACCATGTGGGAACTGTTTTCTGTGGATAAGATCCATTTATGATATTTTGTGAGGATACGCTTTAACCCAGGGGGATCCAGGAGTGATCCATAAGGCATTTTGGCCCTTTTAGGGTCGCAGCAAGGAGGTGAGGAGCCAGTCTAGCTGTGTGTGGAGTCATCACCAGAGCCTACAAACGCACAAGATTCACCTGCATGTTTGCATTCATTGTTGCGGACACTGGTGGAATGTTTTTGTTCATTAAATGTACTTTTGAGTGATGTGTTCATTTTTTTCACTTGTTGCATATATATATATATATATATAATATAAATATATATATATATTTTTGATATCAGCGGTTTATTATGGTTATTTACAGATTGTGTTGACACTGAGCACTTGTTTTAGAGTGTATCCCCTGCATTAGAGGGCTTAATATCAGTCTTTTCCACCATATGCACTATATTGTGTGATGTTGCACGATTTTAGTATTTATTTTCACTGTTTGTTCCACCATTATGTCACATTTTTATGTTGAGATTTAGTTTGTTTACAGAGCGCTACACTTATTGATTGGTATAAAATTCTCACCATGCTTCTTATCAAATTCTTTGGGGTGTCTACTTTCCAAAAAGGGGTCTTTTGGGGGGGTTTGGTGCTGTCCTAGCCAGGGTGGACTGACAACCGATGGGGCCCCCGGGCAATAGGGGATCATGGGGCCCCTGTGTCCTCACCCACAGCCAAAAAAAGCCTATGAAAAAGCCAATTAAAGGTACCAGGGGCATCTCATGGGGCACCTACTGACCCCGGGCCCTCGGGCAGCGCCCGAGTGCCAAAATAGTCAGTCCGCCCCTGGTCCTGGCATTTCAGGGCCTCCGAAACTGTAATAGGTAGTCAGGAAGTGTAATGAAGGAGTAAAGCCCTTGAAAAGCCTAAAGGTGCTTATTGGATTTTTGGGTCCTGTACTTGGCTAGACTACCATAAAGTATCTCACATGTGGTACCCCCATATTCGGAAGAAGAAGCAGAATGTATTTTGGGGAGTAATTCCACATATACCCATGGCATGTGTGAGCAATAATTAATTTAAGTGACAATTGTGTGTAATAAATTCTTCTATTGACTCAACATGACTCTCAGCAAATACTTTGGGGTGTCTACTTTCCAAAAAGGGGTCATTTTAGGGGGTGGGGGCATTTTATGCCCAGCATTAGAAGTTTATGCCACACATCATTCACTCTTCTAACCACCTGAAGACCAAGCCTTTTCTGACACTTTTTGTTCACGTGAAAAAAAAATCAGCATTTTTTGCTTGGAAATTACTTTGAACTCTCAAACATATTTTTTTTAAAGCAGACACCCTAGTGAATAAAATGGTGGGTGCTGCAATTTTTTATGTCCGATAGTACTCGTGCAGCGATTTTTCAAACACAAACCTTTTGAAATAAATACACTTTTTTTACTTTTAATGCACAAAAACACAATATATTGGCCAATTATTATTGAGTACAATATAAAAGATGATGGTATGCCAATAAATAGATACCAAACATGACATGTTTTAAAGCTGCGCATGCCCCCATGCAATGGCGACAAACTGCATACATTTTTAATATCCATAGGCAACGCTTCATGGTGATACCTCACATGCATGGTGCAACCACTGTTTACATACTGGCACAGGGTAAACGCTCGCACAAGCAGGTGTGGGGGGGGGGGCAGGGTGCTTTTTTTTTGTAGTTATTTTTATTTTTTTTATTATTTTTCATTATTTTTTTTTAATCACTCTAAATGCTATCACAGGGATTGCAAATATCCCCTATAACGTCAATGAGCATTGTCATATATTCTTTTTAGAGAAATCTGGGGTCTATCAGACTCTAAATATCTCTTCTGCCCTTACATTATCTAATCTCACCAAGATCGGCGTGATCAGTTGCTTTCCCAATTTACAAATGGCGCTGTTTATATCCTGCGAAACTGAAGTGATGAAATGCTCGTAGCTTCCGATTTCTTAGACTATAGAGATGATTGGCACCATTACAGTCTTCAATCAGCTCTATGGTCATCTGACAGAAACACCGGCTACATTCTCAGGTTCCCCCCGTTGGCACGGGACTGCCCGAGAAGGCCGTGGAGGGCAGTGCGGTAGAGGTAGGGGGGGCATCATCTCCCGCTGCTTGTAAAAGCAATCCTGCAGCTAATTAGCCACTAGGATTGCTTTTACATGAAAGCCGATCGCTGGCTGAAAAAAATCAATACCAATATCAATGCAGCTGCAGGCATCATCCTGATATAACCATTCAAAGTCCAGTGATGTACCAGTACATCGCTGGTCCTTGTTGGGTATATATGCTATGTTCTTTTTTTTTTTTGTATGCAGCCTGTGGGCTGAATGAAAAGAAGAGAAGAAATCCCTGCCAGGAAAAGTGTGTGGTATGCCCACCATTAGAATATACCGCCCTGCATCCACCCACTTCTAATGGTGGGCACACATTAGGTCTCACGGTGACACATGCGCCAATTCCAAGATTGTACAAATGTCTAAATAGTGGCACGCTTGAATAGAAATTGTCCACATATAAGTGGTACCCCCATATTGAAAAAGGATGACACCAAGTCCCAAACTATCTTGTCACTGCTCCCCATGTAGTCTGGGCATCCGGGGGGGCTCCATGTGACTATCTTTTCCCTCGTAAATCCAAAACTTGGTATAGCATGTTGCCCTCTTATATATCTTGACCCCATATCTGGCACGCTTGCTGGGGAGAAATCGTTTGAATGCAAGACGGCCAGAAAAATTAATGAGGGACTCATCAACACAGATTTTTTGCTAGGGAGTATAGACATCTGCAAATTTTTGGTTAAGGTGATTTACGAGGGGCCGCATTTTGTGGAGCCAGTCAAATTCAGGGTCACCCCTAGGACGACAGAGTATATTGTCAATGAAATGCATAAAACACATTATACTCTCATATCTATGCCTGGCCATGGCAGCAGAGAACACGGGCATATGATGAATCGGGTCTGTGGACCAATACAACCGCAATTAATTTTTTTTAGTAATTCCCATGTTGAGGGTTAGGCCACCAAAAAAATTTTAATTTAGAAACTGTAATGGGTTTCCATGGGAATGGTCTGGCAAGGTTTGAATTTGGGTTGGTGGAGAATAATTGTTATGCACATAAATTGCTTTGATCCCCAATCAATGCATACAGATCTTCCGTGAAAAACAGTTCCAAAAAAATCAAGGGGAGTAGTTAAATTTGCTGTTTCCACCTGAATTCTGGGTCGGGCAGTGAATGGGGGAAGTATGGGTGCTGAAGAATTTGTGGGCTGCTAATCGGAATTTGCAAGCACATCTGGAAGGATACTAAGGGTTCTACGGGCCTGTGTGCAAATTCTTGGTAGGTGCGGGACAATACTTGTGCTCACCACTGCACCAGCTTGTACTGCACTTATGGGACTCGCCGCGTCACCAAGAGATACTGCAGTGCTGGTATGTGAAAGACCAGGATGTACTAGGCCACTGGTGCTTGCCAGTTCACCAAAGGGTAGAGCAGCACTAGTACTGGCACTCTGCTGCATATGAGAGTCATCAAAATCTACTGGCAAGTGCTAGCAGAGATCACGCCAGATTCTGCAAACACTGCAGTTTTGTGTGCAATGTATCAAGTGACAGTGACCTACTGACACTGCGCGTGCTGGGGGAGAAGGGAAGGGTAAGCGTAGGGGCTAAATGCAGGTGCTGGCAGGTGCCGGGGCTGTGTTTTGGGGACACTATACTAATATGAACGCTAGTATAGTGCTGATCTGATCAAAGATAGTGATCCGTTCAGACACTATGCACAGGATCACATATATATACTTGATTCTGCATTTCCGGGTGGGGGGCGCGTGCGTCCTACCCGCACAGCCGATTGCGGCCCGAATGTCAATCGCCAGGTCCCGGCCGGTGATTACCCGCTGGGGCCCGGGGATTACCAGCGATCACCGACAGGGAGGAGGGCTGCATTGTTTACCAACAGCCCTCCTCCCTCTCAGTTTAAGCACACTGCTCTGGATGGCTGAGTAGAGCCATTCAGAGCAGTGTGCTTACAGTAAAGAACACACCCGGCCCCCTAGTAAAACACTCCCATCACACAGTTAACCCTTTGATCGCCCCCAAATGTTAACCCCTTCCTGCCCACTGCCATTAGAACAGAGTCAGTGCTTTTTTTTATCACTGATCACTGTATTGGTGTCACTGGGGATTTCAGTGACACCAAGTCAGTTCCCCCCAGTGTCAGAATGCCTGCCGAAGTCCCGCAGTCCCGCTGTAAGTCGCTGATCGCCGCCATAAGTCGCTGATCGCCGCCATTATTAGTATAAAAAAATTCCAGTATCTATACCGCTATTTGTAAACGCTATAACTTAATTTACATGTATTTGGATTTTTTTTTTAGCAAAGACATGTCACAGAATACATTTTGGCCTAAATGTATGATGGAATTTGATTTTTAATTTTTTTTTTTACTGGACATGTTTAATAGCAAAATGTCCAAAATATAGTTTTTTTTCTCAAAATTGTTGGTCTTTTTTTTTATAGCGCAAAAAATAAAAATTGCACAGGTGATCAAATACCATCAAAAGAAAGCTCTCTTTGTGGGAAAAAAAGGACGTAAATTTAATTTGGGTGCAGCATTGCATGACCGTGCAAAATAAGGCCTGGTCAGGAAGGGGGGTAAATCCTCTGGTTAAACATGGAAAATCTTGCCAAAACAACAACTGCATCATTAAGGCTTGGATAGGTAGCATTAGCACTGACATTGACCTCCTGTGATGTCTTCAGTCAAGATGGGCTAATGTTACATGTACAGAAGGAGTCTTCAAGATTGTCACTAGTCACAGTTCTCCCTCACTTTCTCTGAGCAGCAAATACCATTTGATTAACTGATGAGTAAAATTATCTAGCAGCAATACAATTTTAATGAGTAAGAATAGGTGAGAATGTAAAGACACAAGGCACAGTTAGATGTTTTCCTACAAGAATTAAGAGTGTACACACACAAATGTTACAGCAGTGTAAAATCGGCCAGCAGCAGGACAGTTTTAATCAGAGATAACAGGCCTAACCGATGCATATCTAACTTTTATTTATGCTATGGGCATAGGGAGTGTGGTAATTGCAAGTGATATATATATATATATATAATATATATATATATATAATTATTTTTATTTATTACAGGTACTTATATAGTGCTGTCAATTTAGGCAGCGCTTTGCATATATACTGTACGTTCACATCAGTCCCTAACCCTCAAGGAGCTTACAATCCAAGGTCCCTAACTCACATTCATACTATGGCCAATTTAGACAGGAGCCAATTAACCTACCAGCATGTCTTTGGAGTGTGGGAGGAAACCAGAGGAAATCCGCGTAGGCACATGAAGAACATGCAAACTCCAGGCAGGTGGTTGGGTTTCAAACCAACGACCCTAGTGTTGCCAGGCAGAATGTGCTGTAGGTTATCATTGTCCTTGCACTTTTTTTTCTAATGTCCTTCAAATGGTCTAGTGGTGTGCTGGAAACAAAAGGCACACCACAAACAAGTGCAGATGGTCAAAACAAGCCAATGCTGCACTTTGAGCACTCTAAACTTCAAAGGCTATCTCAACATAAAAAAAGGAAAAATATACCCTAAAATAAGTGAAAACTCTCAAATACCACCCTGAAACAAAATCCCACCATTTTTAAAGGAAGGCTTTGCAGTTAGCTATTAGACTGTTGCTGATGCAGTCTGCTTGTCATTGTGCTAAGGCCGTGCAAAGCATTTTGAACAAAACTTTTCTGAGAACCTGCTGAGAACCTAAATTTGGACCTAACAGGATTCATTGTAAATCGGTGGTTGCAACAAATATGAACATCCTAGAAAGCACCATTATGAAGTAAAGAAATACAGATTTGCAGTAGATCTAACACTTAGCTATAGCAGGAGTATATAGTGCTGTAGAAAGAAATATATATATAATGGAGATACTGTAAGTGTAGGCTGAAGTAGGAAGGACTGTGTTGATTTTGTATTTCACCCTGTGAGCTGGTATAAAATGACCTTCATGCAGTTACTGCACCTGTAATTCCAGTGTTCCCACATTGGAATTTGAAATTACAGTCAATGACACATATGAATAAACAGCATAACATTGAGTAACAGGGCGGTTGCTAAAAAGGGCAAGCATACACTGAGCCATTATGAAAGTCCCAGAGTCCAAGGCATACCTAGAGGCATCACAGGTATTGCAAATGCATTCGGTCCCATGCTCCAGGGTGCCCATGTGGCTCTCTTGTGCACCTGGATATGAGGGGTGGCAGGGGCGATATATAGAGGAACCAATCCGCTCCATTTTTCTCCTGCAGCCTTTTAGCAGCTACAGAGGGGGTGGGTTCCGCTACATGCTGCCCCGTCACCCCTCCTATCTAGGTCCTGCTGCTCTTGTGTGATCCCCTGGCCCCTTCTCATTCCCCACAGCTCTGTCAGGTCCCCCCCCTCTCCCGCTGGTTGCTGCTAGTGATGCATTCAGCATGGAGAGTGAAGAAGGGGCCTGCAAATATGTAATTTACTGGCCCCTTCCTTTTCAGATCAGTGTCAATCACTAACTCTGTTTATTTTAAACTGAAACATAGCAAACAGTGTTTACTATGCTTCAGTTTGCAAATGAAGGGGAAGCTCTTTACAGAGCTATTCCTGTCCATTCAGTCTGTGCTGCTGAGGCTGCAGAGATGGAGACTGAGGATTGTGTCTTCAATCTTCTTTCTCTGTCTCAAAGGTGGAACATCAGAGGTCTGTTTAGACACCTGATAGCTCACCAAAGCCCCCCAAAGGGGCTCTTAAAAAATAAAAATTGTAAAACAATTATAAAAAATAAAATTGTAAAATAAATAAATAAATAAAATAAAATGGTACAAAATAGAAAAAAAAAAACCTACTGACACCAGTGGCGGCACTAGCAGGGTTGCAAAGCTTGCACTTGCAACTGGGCCTTGGCGTTCTGCCACCATAGGGGGGCACAAGACAGCATGAAGGTGGCCCTCTGCAGAACTTGTGAAAAGGTCCCCGAGATCAGTGGGAAGGGCCCTGGCCAGGGATCAGGGGGGCCCCTCATGGTTTCTTGCACCGAGGTCCTGAAGGTTCTAGTTACACCTCTGCCAGAGTACAAATCACCTGATTGTGACATGGTACAGCAGGCATATATCAGGAATATGAAAAATTGGGTTGACATATTCTTTCAGACTAACAGCATAAAAGGTACATTTTGGCAGTCTTTCCCCAGTCCTAGGTGACCAATGACCCCCTATATATACGGTATGACCTGCAAGGGGTATATCGTTCCTGAAAAGAGCAGGAAAAACCTGCTCAGCAGTGTTAACCCCTCCCTTTCAGGAACCACCAGCTCAGCAGGTCAGGTCAAAGCATGAACATGGCAGGAGAAAATTGTTTAAAATACAACCTTTTGGAAATACCTGCTTACAGGGGTGAGAGTTAATTTTGACATTAACAGGTGTTAAGGATCCATGTACAGCCTGGGCCTAAGATCCAAGAGGTTGCAATCAAGGGATCAGTCAGACGTTTAACATGACATAACAACACAGAAGCCAAGTACAATAAACTGTATAATTTGTAAAATGTTCCAACAGGTTACAACTAGGTCCAGCACCGCCGTCCGGAGCCACTTACAGAATCAGTAGCAGCAGTTGAGTAGCTGAAATAATGCCGACAACTTCTGCAATGAGGAGCAGGAATGTGGCCTGGCCTTTCCCTACTCCTCTGGAACCACTCCTTGTCACTAAGTGCTGTCCCTACAGCCTACTACATTTACAGAATGTGCACCAAATCAGGGGGCCAGAGGCTTAAATAAGCTCTGCCCTCACCCAAGATGGCCGTGGAGGTTATGGGAGGCACTGGCGTCCAATTGGACAGCTGTTCTCCTGTTGAAGTCATAGGAGAACCAAGTCCCTCACAACTTTCTTCCTGTTCTGCATTGCCACTGTGGTTGAGCACCACCTACAGTGTGGAGAGGAGGCTGCACCTGCCAACACACTTCAAGCATGGCAATCCCCAAAACTATTAATGAAGCATGTGCCTGAATTAAATCATGGATGTCATTTTTTGTATACATAATTGAACCCATTTACTGTACTAAGTGGATGGTAATGCCATATTTTTCCACCACCCTCCTTATTCATTTGTCTTGCACAGTACATTCTGTCTAAGCAAACTTCTCCATACACAGTAACATTCATGCATTTTACAGCATAAGAATGCATTTCCAGTAGAAAAAAATTTGTTTAGGAGCATCTGGGTTCACTTCCTGTTCCCCTCAGGAATTCCCTAACTATGGGGAAAGTGCACACTAAAGGAGCAAGTATCATACCTAGCACATACACTATACCTATTAACACACAAATCATACACTAGTACACACTATACCCAGAGAGGCAATAGCATGAATGTGCATTTCCTAGATTTGGGTAAAGTTGGGAAGGGTTGGAACCTCAATTAGGCTTTTACTGCCGCTTGTGCTTCAGGGAGCCTCAGTCACACTTTCACTTCTGGTAACAACTGTCACTGCAACAGAAAGTGAGGATAATTCCAACATTATACAGTAACACCAAAACAGAAGTTGTGAGTAAATCTCTCAAATGGGACACAAACTTACCCTTCCCCACCCTACAAATATGTTTTGGCAGGAGCTGCACTTTAACCCTTTGTTGGGGCCTGTGTCAATGGCCTTTTGGCTTTGTCAATGTGTTATGTCCCTGCCGGCGGTAGCCTCTAGCGTTCCACAGATAGGACTCCCCCAAGGCGCGGAATCTAAGTCCCAACCTGCTTGTTCACCAGGGCCCCTGATGGTGGGGATGGACTTGGAGCAGGCCGAGACCAGGTCACGACCCTTGAGTTCACCCAGCTGTGGTAGAAGCACCACCGCAGGTGTATGGCAGGTGAGAGCCTGATGTGAGGAGGTAGCGAGAGCAGTGTCGAGCAGGCCGGGTCAGTAACGGTGGAGGCAGAACGGTACCAAAACAACAGACAGAAAAATAAACAGGTCACAAGCCAGGTTCGGTAACAGGAGATCAGAACGTGCAGGATTAAACAGGAGAATGGTCAGGCAAGCAGGGATCAGAACAGGAGACAGACAGCAAATCAGGGTCAGGCAGGGTCAGCAACAAGGCAATCTCAAAATACAGGAACACAGGATACAGGTAAGACCATAAGGCAATTAGAGCCAGACCTGACCTGTTTTAAATAGGGCGCCCTGCGCCCTGATT